GCAGAACATTAAGAACATTAAGGAAGAAATGAGCTGACTTCCCAACATCTTACCTTCTCAAAAAACGTTTTAGTTACCATGGTACTAAGATCTCTGTTAACCAGAAGAAAACATAAAAAGAGCTTAAAACAAGGTCAGAGGAAAAGGCTGCAGAAACAATTTATAAGAGGAGAAATAAATTTGGAAAGTTAGAAAACAAAATAATTGTGAGTTTAAGTGAAACATGTTTTATTTTGTATTATATCATGTGCTGGATGATTAGGAACGAAACTAATAGCAGTTCTTAGATTGTTGATCCTTACTCCTTTTTAATCCTGAGGTTTCCATTAGCTCTTAAGTCAGAGAAAAGAACAGCATAGAGTACAGTAGGATTCTCTCTAACAGCACAGCCAACATTATGCTGCTCATATCCTACAGCTTGATTTCAGATCAACTATGAGAACCATAGTTATATCATAACCCTGGTACTCTATGGATTCCATTAGAAAAGTAACTTCTAAAACTCCTAAGAATCTGGAATACTTCCAAGGGCCAGTGCAAAAACCTGAAAACCTCATTTCCAAAGTTTTAGAAGCATTTCTATCTCATCTTCAGTGATCAAACTATTTGAAGAGATCTTCTGCAACTTCACAACAGGAAATGATATCCACTTATACCTCTCTATCTGCATACCCAGTTGTCATAACACCTGGGAAACTCCTCTTTCTGTAACCACAGCCTCAAGTCATAGTAAAGCAGCAAACCTTCCTGCTACTGCATCCATATGCCCTTAAAAAAAAACCAGGAACAGCCTATTGACCATGAAACAATTTAACAAACACATACTCCTTAAAAAAATGTTAAGATACTTTTAAACAATACAAGCAATCTGTCAAAAGAAAACTTAGCTCATATATACAAAATCAGGCTAAAAATTAAATATGGGTAATTTATATGTTCTTCAAGAACATGTATGTATTCTTTAAGGTTTTCCTATTGAAATAGGAAATAAGAAAAAATATGAGACATGAACCAACAGTCATTGTGCATTCAAGGTACATCTGCATGTTCTAGTGAATACTTGCCCAGTGTGGGCCATACCTGATCCACCTCTCACTTACACTATACAAAACTTGGGAAGATGAAGCACAAGCCATTTCCTTTAGTGTTTCTAGTCTTCCAGCACTTAGGGGAGGAAGGTATATTAAGGAAGAAGATGAGTAGAATTCTATAGAAAAACTCTTTGAGCAAATAGCAGCAAAGGTGAATATTATTTGTAGCCAGAGCTAGGTCTTTATATATTATAAACAGTCTCTGATGGTTCCTTTGACTCCCTACAACAAATAGTGCTATAAATATTTGTTTATATAGCTTACGTGCAAAAAAAAAAATCTTCCAGCACAAATTTCCTAGGTCTCTTCTCAAGAATCTCAAGAATGACAGAGCTCAAGAATCAAACTTAAACTAAAACATAAGAATAAAGACCAGAAAGGAATAAGAAGAACACAGAATTTGAATCACTTACTTGTTCATTTTACCTTAATAAACTGGTCCCAGTTTAACCTCTAACTTGTGTCCACCATAATCTGTTTGGCTATTATGATAAAATATTCCTAATCTCTCTAGGCCCTTCTAATGTAAACCAGGCCTGAAAAAGTGCTGTTTTTTTCTCAATGACCCATATATTTTTGACAGTCCTTGAACCCTCAATTCCTTCATCTAAATTCCTGCTCTGTGGCCCTAGAGTTATGACAGAGAAGCTATGTGGAAACAGGTGAGTGAAGTAAGGAGATTCCAGGAACTGGCTACCCTCCACAAAAATCAGGCTACTTCTCTTTCTTCCACACAGTATTTAACAAGTAAAGCAGAGAAGAAAAGTCCTACATACAGATGAAAGGCTGTATGCAAACAGCTACCCCAAGCTTTTTAGGACTCATGTTTTGGTTGTAAGTACTTAAGTCTGGAAATCTTTGGAATATGTCTTGTGTGTAGGAATGCATAAAAGATAACACCTTGCAAAAGTCAAACATACAGGTTTAATAATGTGCAACTAAAGAAGATGGTTTATAAATGAAATACCACCTACACATTTAGTTCCCTAAATATATTACACTATTAATCATTAAAGTTAGACCTATAAGTACAAGTTTTCCATATGTGGAAAAGTAAATCTGTTTTTAAATTAAGAGAAATTATAACTCTAATTCTTAAAAATAAAACTATCAAGATATAATTCAAGTGTAGCTGCTCATAGTCAAATGAATATATTTAAATTTGATAATAAAACATTTAAGTTTCAACCAATGCACCTTTGTTGAAGCACATTTAGCTGAAATAACTCCAAGTCTGGTTTATTTCCATCACATATAGTACATTTTTCCAACAAGAGCATGTACATTCAATATAGAACATTTCCAGCAACAGTTACAGTCTTTCTAGTTTCCTTTCACAGTATATTTTAGTGCAAAGCACTGGGAAGGGTAAATGTTTTTCTAGCTATAGAAATATTTTATTATGACCTTGTGGATCTTCAACATTTTAAAATTGTATACAAAAAGTATATAGATGGACAGGGTCCCTCCTAAGTACAGGTGTGAACCTCTATAAAAACATGGTATGTTCTCTGCTGTACCTTTTAAAATTATAATTTGACAACAATTACTAAAAAATAAAATATTCCCTAAAAAGTACAAAATATCAATACATAAAACCTGTCCAAAATTTCATAAAGATAGATGTATCTGTTTTTCCTAAAATCTTGATTATAAAAATGAACAAGGAGTCATTATTTTCCGAATTTTACAGTAGGAATCAAATATTATCTAAAGTGGTCATTTAAGATTTTACTTGGGAGAAAAAAAAATCAGGATTTATGCCCCATCTGCCTTTTTTTAGCAATACTTAAAGAAATAAACTAATATAAGAAGTGGTTGTGCATGGATTGTCTGCATCCATAAAATATCAGTAAGCTACTTACTACCTTCATATTAACATTAGTAAATGTGTGGTCTTTAAAAAAAACTGACAAATTAACTTGCTTCTATCATTAAAGTGCTTTGTATAAAACTTCCTTAAAAATTGGGAATGTTAAATTTTCATAAAAACCTCAGATGTTTACAAATGGAAAATGTAATGATCCATGGATGAAAATGAACTAGAACTTTGCTGTAGTATATATTTTAGAATGAAATTTTCAAATATTTTAAGTGCTGGAGAACAAGTTAGAAGTAAATGAATGTAAAAATAATGACAAACATTTAGTAGGCTAAATATGTATATTGTGTTGATACTAATTTGTCTTTGGTCCTAACATACACTCACTAGGAAATCATATATCTGTACAATCCAGATGAAAATTCTGCCAAATAAAGTGGAACACAACTAAAATCACTAAGATATAAAGTCTTTGTCAATTAAAAATCACCAGTGGTGATATTTTCTTCAGGTTGTTCATCACTTCAATCAACAAATTGTTTGGAAAACAAAATTTGCAACATTTCTGTAGAAACTGCAGACCAAATGCACAAGGTCAGAGGTGGTTAACTGATGGACTGTGATGACAATATGTAATGTCACAGCTACTTCAAAAGTGCTGGAAAAGGCAGTGCCTTTGAAACAAGTGGTTTGATGATAATCACTTAAGTGAGAAAACAGCAGTTACAGTCAAATATTTATAAAAACGTTTTTTTTCCTCAAAATACCATTTGAAGACGTTTAGTGGTTCTAACACCAATTTAAAGTCTTTCCACAAAAATGAACTCCAAACCTTTTCGTACATCACTTGAAGTTATCTGAGGAGAAATGGGAATAAATGAACACTTTTGAGTTTACCAATAAAAGCTTGTTTTTAAAATTACACAATAATAAATGACTTCTAAAGAATGGTTTCATCTCAAGTTTTCCACAAAAGTATTTTTTTAAATGTGTGATAATCAAACCACAACATTTAACCTACTCAGCACTCAAACTACTGCTTTAAAAGTTAAATCCAAAACTAATTTAATACTAATTAAATATATTAATTGCCTTAACATAGGGACACAGGTACTGAAGGTAAACTTTCAAAATATAGAGACTTGAAAAAGCAAGTATAGTCTACTCATTACTTTATATTGCATTTTTAAAATCTACATTTGTTCCAAAACCTTCTAAAAAAGTAGAATTTTTTTCTTTCTTCCCAATAGGGGTTTTACTTTTCTTGCAACATACAACCACACACACACACACACACACACACACAAAAGGGGGGAGGGGACAAGAAAATCCCTATTTAATAATATTAACTATGTTGAAATGATCACCAAAAAGTTTATTTAAACAAAAAGGGAAATTTAAGAGGATTTGGGACCTAAGTAATCATTTTTCTTTCATAGATCAAACTTAAAAATGGTACATACTCCCAAGGAGGAGGAAAAAGAAATTCCAAACTTTTATCAAGTTTCCCCCTTTATCTAGAAATACTATGTTAAATGTAAATAATAAATACTAATCATCCTAAATTCAATTTGGGGATTTTTTTTCTGAGTGCAGCACTTTATTTAGCCGTCACAGACTAACTTTTACAATAATTACAATGCCTCAAAAGACTTTTTTCTGTAATTATCGCCTTCACAAATTCATTCTATTTAATTTTCCTACAATGCATTAATTAGTAGACTAAGTCACTGAATCAAATTAAACCTGTGCAAAGTTAGTTAAACAGAAGATGTCTATTGTAAACATAGGCCAATATAAATGTATATTTTACAACAGAGAGGAAAGCACTGACCCTATGCCATCTACCTATAACTATATTGCATTGTCCTATGGAAGATAAGTTCTGAAGTTAACTTTTGTTCCCAAGCCACTGGAATAAAGGTCACTGAAGAGGAAATGCAATACACGCATTACTCTTGCAGCTCCCACTGCTATGAGATATATGGAAGCAAATGTGTTAAAATGGAACCAGCTATAAATTATGGTCAAATGATTTTTTTAGTTCGATGGGGGGGAAAAGCAAAACTCTGTTAACTGTTCCTCACCAGACAAGAGCCTTAGATCTTGTACTTCGGCCTTTGGTTTTGTTTCCTTCAGGTGAATTGGAAGCATTTGCCTTATGAGTTTTCTTATGATGTTCAAGATAAGTCTTTTTAGCAAATGCCTTTCCACATTTATTGCATCTGTGAAGAGAAAAGTTTTTTGTGACTTTTACTTCAATACCAACGTCAGCTACTTCATACTTTTTACTAGGAGAGTTAGAAGTGCCATCATGTTTTGAATCGCTATGTTTTGCTTCGTCCCTTGAAGGGCCTCTTTTTGCCACTTTATTTAGAACAAAATCAATGGGCTTTTTTATAGCTCTGATCTCCAAACTGGCTGTTATTTTCCCAAGATAGCGGGATGACTTTTTATGAACCACAGTTATATGTCGTATCACATCACGCTTTCGACGAGTTTCGTAAGTGCAAAGAGGACACTTGTAGAATTTAACATAAATGTTATTCCCATCTGTGTGCAACTCAATGTGTTTAGTCAAGTTCTGTTTGGAAGTAAACTGACGTTTACAAAGTTTACAGTAAAGTTGCTTAAAGTCAAAGCCAGCTGAAAGTTTTGGTTTCCTGGTTTTTTGCTGGCCACCTGCAGCAGACGGACTGGTTGATTTAGGGCTTTCAGAGTCTTGTTTAACTTTATTTTTCTGGGCTGCCGGTGTGTTCTTTTTTTCATTTGAATGATTTGTTCCCTTTAATTCATTCTGTGGAGAATGGGTAATGGAAGGGGGTGAAGATTCTACAGAATCTGCTGGTTCAACTTTAACTTTTATTTCTGAACTGTTGGCAGTATTATTGGGGCCTTTCTCTCTTTTAGAGTTTGTTGCAGAAAGAGTTATCTTGTGGACAATTTGCATATGTCTTTTAAGCATTATTTGTGAACTATATTTCCTCTTGCAAAGGAGGCATTTGCATGCAGTTAAATTGTATTCAGCCTTTGAAGACGACTTTTGTTTTCGAGTCTTAAAAGATTTTTTAGGAGAAACAGAATCCAGAAACAAAGGTTGCCCAGGCTTTGTTGCTATATCAGGAGTAATTGAATCCCTCCTTAGTCCTCTATGAACTTCATCAAAGTGCCTCCTTACATTCGCTTTTGTAGCAAATGATTTACAACATACTGGACAACTCCTACTTAATGGAACCAGAATATTCTTACTACGTCCTTTAGAGGATTGGTTTGGATTTTTTCGTGTTTCAATGTACTTTTTTAGTTCTTCCATCTTTTTCTTGTGTACTTTTCGAATGTGACGACGAACACCTCGTCTGGAATTAAATTCTTTTCTACAAAGACAACATATCAACTGGTGACCAAAATCAGAATTATCAGAAGTTTCTAAGTCAGCTTGTGATTCCTGAGGTTGTTCATCAGATGTAGGTGCAACTTCATCTGCAACGATCTCAACAGGAGGGGTCTCTACAGTTTCCATCTCTGTAACTGGAACAGGAACTGTTTTAGACTGTTCAGTGCTAGTTTCCTGTATTTGAACTTCAGTTTGTTCAGGAATACTGCTTGACTCCGTGACTTCAGTAGGATTATCAGTCCTTGAAATATACTGAAACACTGCATTCTGATTAGTTTCTATGGGTTCTAGTTTAATAATATACTCTCGCTTGTCCACACTTGGATATATGGCTTCTAGGAGATCATTTATGGCTTGGCTTTGTTTATCATTTACATCAGGAAGGTCTGTTAGGGGAAAAAAACAACATTTTAACGTGAAATATTAGCTCTTCTAATTTTTAATGTGTTACAAATGTCTATCTTAAAAATTATTATATTTCTGGTTAATGTTTATTTTTATAACAGCATTTATAAAAATAAAAACTAGTATTGAACTAAAATTTGCTTTAATTTAAAACCTCAACATAGTACATAAATGTTAAGGACTAGACACAACTGAAGAGTCACACCACTTCTAGGTGCCCTTACTATAAAATACATAAGCACATGGGTGTCCTAACAATAAATTACTATTTCCTATTTTTAGTCTAAAATTTTAGGCAATCAAAGGTAAATCTAAGTTCTCATAACCCAAGATGGATAAAACATCATGAAAAATTTTACTATATATAAAAATAATTTTTTAAAGAACACATACAGCATTCCTATTAAATTACCTTATTCATAATAATTTTCCTACTCTAATTATAAGACATATTTATGAAATAAAAAAGAGACTTTATAGGAAAAACATAAACATGAATGACATGATATATACAAGTATTTGCTAAACTCAGTCCCTTTATGTGTCTCCTTAACATGACACAATTCTATTAAAACAAATGATTAAAAACTATAGATTTATTCCAAATAAAAGATCTAGTTTTATTTCCTTGTACAGTAATTACACCTTCTGTAGGCAACTAAATATTCCCATTGTAACAGACTTGTCTAATACTTAGTTATGTTTCTACATACAACTCTAAATTTAGCTATTCTTATTAAATATAGCATCAAATATTCTATTTAGAAGTAAAGATGATTTATTATAACTCTTCTCATCTACTTCCTTTTTAAAATGGATAAAGTTTCTGTAAGAATAACACTTTCACAAAAGTATTTCTAGAATGAGTATTGCCAAGAGAGCACATTAATCCAGCAAACCTGTTTATCTATTCCCCTCTATAAGTCAACTTCATACTAAAAAATAACAAGTAATTACCAGAAAATTAACTTACTTTCTAATGGTACTTTAATTAGAAAGTTAGATTTAAAACTAATCTTCATTGTCCTGGCCAGATGGCTCAGTTGGTTAGGATGTCATCTATACACCAGAAGGTTGCAGGTTCAATTCCCAGTTAGGGAACATACCTAGGTTGTGGGTTCAATACCCATCTAGGACGCATATGGGAGGCAACCAATTGATCTTTCTCACATTTCTTTCTTTCTTTCTCTCTCTCTCTCTCTTTTCTCCCCCTCTCCTCTAACCCTCCCTCCCCCTAAAATCAATGGAAATATCCTCAGGTAATGATTAAAAAAAAAACAACTAATCCTTATGGACTGCTTTTTTTATTATATCTCAATGATTAAAAAAAAGTATAGCAGACCTAACAGCAGTATCCAAACAAATATGAAATATGAAATGTTCAGTTCATGTATGTCTTATAACATGCCTTAAATTGGCTTCATGCTAATACTTGAAGTTTGCACTTTATTCCCATCCCAAAAAGGTTAAGTTGAAAAAATGCACAAAATCCACAATGCAAAATAGTATCAAACTGGTAAAATAAATTCTGTATTTTATAAGTCCACAAAGAGTTAAATCTCAAAAAGATGAAAAGTTATTTTTTATTAAAATATTTCAAAGAATTTACATTAGTTCTTTAAAGAAAATAACACCATTATATATACTGCAACTTAATCATACACAGGCAATACACTTAATTCAACAAGCAAATCGTTTCACAAAGACTTTATTAGCCTACTATCTGCCTTCATCACATAAGCTATTTCAGATCTCAAGTTAACCCACAGTACAATCTAACTTCTGATAAAATGACTAATCTAAATAAATTTCACTGAAAACAAACTGACCTTCAAATCAAGACTCAGAAAACACTAGAAAGATTAATAAATATTTAATGCTCTCTACCAGTCCCAAGAAATCAACTCATTTACTCAAGAGTAATCTAAGTAAATAATCAGTCATATCTGGTAACAAGTTGTTAAAGAAGTAAAAAGGAAAAATACCAATAGCCCCCTTCAAGAATTAATATTTTAACTTACAAAACTCCTGAATATAAAGTATATGACCCCTATGAACATTCAAAAACAATATTCAATATTTAAATACAAATAAATACTCACAAATCTAACCCCTTATATATCTTGAGGAAAATCCAAGTAAAAAACACAGGTATGAAAGTACGTATCTAAAAAACTGAATATAGCCCTGAATGGCGTGGCTCAGTGGACTGGGCTTTCAACCCACAAACCAAAAGGTCACTCACTGGTTCAAATCACTGTCAGGGCACATGCCTGGTCCACAGTTGTGGGCATGCAAGAGGCAACCAATCAATGTTTCTCTTGTACATCAATGTTTCTCTCCCTCTTTGTCTCCCTCCCTTCCCCTCTCTAAAAATAAATAAATAAAATCTTTTAAAAACAAAAAATAAGCAAATAAATTGAAGATTGGGTCAAGTATTTAATTTTACTCTCTATCATTAAATAATCTATAACTAGAGATCCATAATTTAACACAAACATAAGTTGTAATATAAGAATACTTAATCATAAGGTGCATAACTGAATACTTGGATTAAAACTTACTGTCATCCATCTGGAGACTTGGTGGGCAGTAAAATTTTTTGTGGGTAATTAAATTTGGTAATCCTCTGAAGAGACTTCGGCATAATTTACATTCAAAAATAGTGTCCACATCTTTTAATAAAATATGTTTAAGTTGTCTAGTTCCTGAGAGAAAAAAACAAAAGAAAACTTAATACAAAAAGTAACTTTAATATGTACTTTTAAACTGAACAACCACTGCTGAAAATCCAAAAGTGCAGTTTCACTCTTCAAAAACAAAACATATAGGCATTTCCAGTCACTACCACAGTGTATTATTCACAACAAAGTTATAGACTACTTCTAAGCAAAAATCCTTCTATCATTTGGATATTAGGGAGCTAAAATTAGTGATATCATCCTAATTCAGCAGCCAATCAAGTCTTGGGATATCTCAACAGTGGTCCCAACATGTTTGATTGTCACAAAGACCTGGGAATAAAGATACATGTGATCTACCTCTAGAGATTCTGATTCTATAGATCTGGAGTGAAACTGAAAAATTAAATGTCTCCATCCCCTCCCACTCCCTGCCAAAGTTTTTGCCTGGTTCTTCCAGCTCACTTCTGCATTAGGAAGTGAACATAAGAGTTTTATAACACATTTCCCCTGATTCCTTAAAGAAGGTCAAAATTATGTCACAAGATTGTGACTTTTATTTTTAAATTTAGATCAAATCACTTCAGGTTCTGGGCCAACATAGGATTATGGCCATTTAGTGTGATAGCGAATCTTGTCCATAATTTTGAATTTTGCTTAGGTCTCTTGATACTACCATAAATTTATTCAAATCCTTTCTTCCTCAAAAACTTACCTCAATTGCAATTAATTAAATATTGACATAATTACTAGTTTAAAGCCTGTCTTCTCCACTAGTATTAAAAAACTCCAAAACAGCGAAGACCAAGTCTGTCTTATTTATAACTGTAAGTATTCAGCTCTAATAGTGCTCAATAAATTTCTGTTGAAGAAATTCCAGTGATCTAAGAAATCTAAGTACTGTGACAAAAGATCAAAGGCAGAGAAAAAAATAAATGGCAATAAGTACCTCATCTTTAAAATAAGAACACCCACCAGGAATAAAACACAAATGGAAAGTCTTTTGTCACTACTTCCTACAGGTCTTTGCCACAGGTAAACTAACAAAATTGATCTACAATGCTTTACTAATTAATGAGTTTTCTCAAATAAAAGAACATGATAATATTGACTTAAATTAAAACAAGTGTCTTGAAAAAAACTTTTAAGACTATCTAGGTGTAAAGTGTTCTGTCATCCAACAAGCATTTGACTATTTAAGCTCTGGAACTACTAAAGAGTAAACACAATTTTACTAATATAATTAATATTGAAGAATCCATAAAAGTTAAATATTTCTGATTCAATATTTAATAATCTGCTCACATTTAATTTTTTTATTAATCATCACTGTGTAATTTTATCTTATTTTGAAAATAGACCAACCTTTAAAATTCTACTGCAAAAAGATTAGCAGGTTATCAGAACTTTACTATTTCTTAAGAGATTCCAATTCTGATAGTTGTGTGACCTTAAAGAGCTGTATAATCTTTGCATTTTGATTTATCCATCTAGTAAAATGAACAAACCAAACATATTCAGAAAACATAAATTTAAAAAGATTCCAAAGATAACTTGGGTATAATTATTCTTTATAAAAGAAGTGTATTCACATATAAACTACATACATACATACAGACATACATATGTGTGTCGTCCATTTCACATTACAAAATATGTATACTGGCAATAAATTGCTGCTGTATTTAGAGTTCAGAGTTAAACTCCTAAGTGAATGACAAACTATGAGAGGTAGATTAATGAAAAAAATGTTTAGATAAACCTCTCTAACTGATCTAAAGAGTTCTGAGGAAGTATACCTGAGTGGAAGTATACCAGTAGGAAAAAAATAGCAAATTTTTACACACTTTAATTCTAAATTAAACCTGCAAGACCTACACTAAAGATTCAACTCTGCCTTTAAAAAGTCAATAAGGACTAAATACAGACAAAGAAATAACACCTGAACTAGGTTAGTTTAAGAACTCAACTAAAGAGTTACATAAGCAGTACAGCATGAGGTTACACATTTTTTTAAAGTTACTTGTAAAAATATAAAACTGCATCCCTAAATCAGACACATAATTTTGTCTACCAGGTTCTCCCAATCAACCGTTTAAAAAAAAGCAGTATCAATTTCTTATATGTTCCTAGTTAGAGTTATATTCAGTAGAGTTCCCAATAAGCATCCAAAAATAGGTAAGTATTTGGCTCTACACTTGACTAATCAATCTTAATTATTGATCACAAAGCTTTGTGATCACAAAGCTTCCCACCCACACCCCACCTACACACACATACAAATACACACACAATAAAAATAGTTGTGTTGATCCAGGCATACCAAATGTCTTTCAGGTCCACAGATTCACCAAATTCTCAATCACACTTACCACGCTTTCACCTAGGTTTTTTTCTCTCTTCTTCCAACATTCTCCTATTTCCCTGGTCTGGCTCACCTGCAATAATCCTTCAGATCTTAGGTTATAGGTCACATTCTCTGACCCCTCCTGTTTTTTCGTTAAAAATTCTTCATGTATATTCCTATTGCACCCTATATACTTCTACACTATATTATCCCACTATCTTGTAATTAATTACTTTCCTGTATCACCATTAACCTGGAAGTTCTAAAAGGATGGATAAGATATCCTTAATGCTCACCATTGAATTTCCAGTGCTCAGGACCATGACTGATTAACATTTTTTTAAATGTTAAAAAAAACCTTCTCTATAAAAATAAGATTTTTCTAGCCTGTGTAGTGTTCATGGGCAAATCAAAAAAGGGACCTCAAAGATTTTCTAACTCCACATTTTACCAATGAGAAAAATACTTGTATTTTTTAACTCCATGAATACAGACAATAAAAGTTTTTCCCAAAGTTAGTTTCAGTATCCATTTAAGGTTTTGGGTTTCTTTTATAACTTTATTCTAATCAGTTACCATTTCCTAATTGCTTTGCTAACAATTAGACACAGTCAACCAACTGTGCCTCTGTAAATAGTTAAAATTTCCTATCACCTGACACAACAGACAGGTCATCTTGACAGCAACATAAAGTTCTTCCACAATCCTTAATTCGGGGAAAGAGAAAACGAGGCTGCCTTGCTCCTAATTATTCCTTTTCCTCTCTCTTTCTTACCTTAAATTATGTTAGCAGTCATTATTTACACAGATCATTAATTAGTATTTTTCAAAAAACCAGCCCTCCAAGGTTTTTGATGCCTAGAAGTTAACTAGTGGTATCTCAGATTCTTACAAAATAGATGTGTAATAAAAATTAGATAAATTTCATCAAGGGTTTATCTTGTACTATTCCTTAATGCCAAATACATTATATATACTGACAAACATATTTAAAGGATTTTTTTCAAGAGAAAAAGTTTTACATTAGGTTGGATAGCAGTCACTTTACATGACATAATATTAATTTAGGCTCTTTTGTGATAGATAAAGATAAGCTTTCATTTTTCTTCTTAATATACTGATTTGTTGGTCAATGACCATTTTAAGTTGTGGCAGTAACTATTTAAAATGTATACCACTTGCTTTACTGTTGACTCACACATGAGCTGTGTCTTCACAATTATCATCCCAACATTGCAAGAAAATCTGTAACTCCTGTCAAATTTCCTGAGTTCTAAGACAAATATGAAATTTATAACTAATCATCCCTTAACAAAGTAAAGATAAAAAGTAGGAAAACTTAAGAAAATTAAAATGTTATCTTAAAACCACTACCTAAAAGGGTTGATTAAAACACACACACACAGCTAATTGTGGAACACTGCCACATACTATAATAAATTTATAAGTAAAATAAAATTATTTCAGTGGCTACTCTGTAAATTTTTTAGTTTGATTTAACAAGTGTTCATTGAATACCTATTAAATACTAGGTACTCTTATTCACTGGAGACATGAAGTGAAGTATATGATCTGTGCCCTTGAGAAATTCCCAGACTAATAAAAATGGCCACTCTTCTAGGAATACAGCTTCAAGTAACATGCTCTGAAGATGAATTAAAACACTGGTAAATCAAACAAGTAAATCCACATTTTTCTTATTTATCAAAAAGTGTCTGGTCTTTAAAATATCTAGATTTGCCTTGGTTGGTGTGGCTCAGTTGGTTGGAACATCACCCCATATATCAAAAGACTGCGGCCTCAATTCCTGGTCAGGGAACATACCTATGTTGCAGGTTCAACCCCTAATCAAGGAACCTACAAGAGGCAACCAACTGGTGTTTCTCTGTCACAGCGATATTTCCTTCTTCCTTTCTCTTTCTCTCTCTCTCCCCCCACCCTCGCTCTCTCCCCTCCTCTTTCCTAAAAGCAATGAAAAATAAATATCTAAAATTTAAATGTTCTAGAATTATGACATAACCACCAAAAATGGCACTCCCTTATGTATCTCTGATAAATCATTAATTCCATCCTGTCTTTATTACAGAGTCAAGACTGAGGCATCAGGACCCAGTTACACCTTATACTAACTGACATTAATGTTGCTTTAAGCAGTATAAACAAAAAAAACCAAAAAACTTCTAAGAAGTTAAATGACCAAACCTAAATTTAGGAAAATGATGATAACAGCAAACATCACACAACGCTAATTCTCATTTTCACTACAATTTATTCCTCCTTAAAATTCAAAAAAGATGTTTCTTGCACATAGTTGTATACTCTACAGGCAGAATCTTTTTTCTATAATATTATGTATTATCTCTTTGTACTATATATTTCAAGAATTCAAAAAATGTCAACTTCATATTAAAGATCAATTTTAAATATCGGAAAAAACGATTATCTTCTTCCCTCCCCATATTTCTGATTCTCTAACCTTAGGACAATCCATAGCTCCTTTGCTTCTACCAAGACTAAGAAAGGATATTAAGCTCAATTAAATCCATTTTAATAATGTCTCATGAAAGCATACTTTTTGTTATTTAAAATTTTGTTTCCATTTAAAAAGATCGGGAAGGAAGAAAGCTAAAATAAAAGTGTTAATAAAAAGGAGGGAAATTTGAAGACAGCAAGTCACAGAATTGATCCTAGGACTACCACAGCCCAGGCAAGGCTCCAGCAAAAGGAAGGATACAGAAAAGGCAGTACCAGAAGTCAAGAATTCAGAGCAAACAACATGTCTCAAATCACCCAACTGTCAGGAATTTCAGGGTAGAACCTGTAGGTCAGGGCAAAACAGACAGTTTTCTTAAAAATAAAAAGACAGAGAGACATCTACAGACAGATGTCAAGTAACAGTGAACTGTACTGTTAATAAAGCAAAAATGCGTAACAGTATGCAGACTCTTCCACCATTTGTATTAGGAAGAAAATGAGGGAAGTATGCCTGTATATATGTAAGGGTTAGTGGTTGCCTGAGAAAAAAGAGACTTATTTTTGTGTATCTATTTGTAGTTCTTTATTTTTTTTAAACCCATAAGCAAATATCACTTATTCCAAAAAAGATAAACTATTCAAATTAATTTACGTCAAGCAGACAAAAATAAAGAGCTATCAAAGGTAAAGAAGAATTTGTAATTTAAAGCCAGAAAAAAAGGCCAAAGCAAAAGCTTAAGTGTGAGGCAAAGAAAATGGGTTAAAACTAGTCATGCAGTCCATACAGCACACATGGAGTTGGTGGACCTAAAAAGTGAATCAATTCCTTCCCCAGCCTTTTATGAATTTCCAGCTTGGGTAGGAATTAATGCCAGGTCACACACACCCCAGTGTAGGCAGGAAAAGGTGAGTCACTTAAGTAGAGATGAGACTGTGGCTAAAGACAATTATCTGAGCTTGAAGATAAGGTAGATATCCTAACCTGACTACTGCCCAACCTGACTTTGCCTCTTAAAGGTTACCAAGAGCAAAAGCATGGACTTCTACCTTTAAGTATGTCAGATATATAACACCAGCAGGATAGTTCTTTAAATACAATGTGTGTGACCTAGCTATATTGAAAAAAAGCCTAGATAGAGGTGAGTTATTGAAGACAGGCTTGGGAGTAGAGTGGGACTGGGAGGAACCTGCAGAATGGGAAAAGATCTCAGTCCCTCCAAACCTCCATCTCATCCTCCCAAAAGTGCAGTGAGCCACAACTTGAACACCTCAGACCTACAGAAGAGCTACCTTGGTCGACTTTAGATTATCCAAATATGTAAGAGATTACTATCTTGAAAAGATTAAAATTGCTTAGCTATAAGACACATTAATGAAGTAAAACAATTCCTTTTTAAATATAAAATTAGTTTTTATACCAGTCACTATATTTCTAAATCACTACTAATGTAAATTATTGGGTACTTAAAGAATTAAAATTATAGTATTTTCGGAATTTGCCTGAAGAAAAAATAACTCAGAAGGAAAACTTGCTGGAGACATTTTTAAAAAAACATACTACAAATTTCACATTCCCTTTTCTTCAGCTTATATAGTAAAGAAATGGCGAATACAGAAAACAGATATGACCACAGCACAATAAAGAAACAATTTCACTTTAATGTATTCATCTTTCAAAGTTAAAAAATATAGATTTTGAGGACAGATTCTTGTTGAAAAATTATTTTTTAGAAAACAAAGAATTTATAAATGAACCAATTCTAGCTTTTTAACCAAATAACACTATGAAGCAGCAGAAAATAACCTTATTAATTCCATATTATGAATTTCTAAAAAGCAAGGATATTATGAAATGTAAAAAGCTATTACCTTCATTTCCAGGATACAAGAATGAACAAGAATAAATTTTATCTCTGTACTAAAATTAGATAAATAGAAGCTCACTGCAAACAGAAACTAACCATTTCTGTTATGCCAGAAATATATTTAAATACAGTCCCCACCAACTAAAATTTTAACTGTATTTACCATGAGAATTTGACCTATCAATTACTACTGTTAACCACAAGCAATTATCATAAGTAAAAAAACAAAAAACACCCTTAAACAGGTTATACCACCAATCAACCTAAGCATAGGCATATGGTATATACTCAACACTTAATTAAACAGACATAAAAGCAATGCCATAAGGACTACAGATGGAAAGTCCAAGAAATGATCTTGAAGAGTCAAAAACAAAATCCTTTTTATTAAGATTAAGAAACTATTTCTTAGAATCCTAAAATAAACCAAATATATGCTTTTTTCCCTTTATAATGTTTTAAAAACAAGCACATCAAAAAAATTCTCATCAATACAAAACAATATGGTTGCACATAAACTGTCTTTTCCTCTGAATCTGGGTATTTTTCATTAAGATAAATAATAATGTAACTTAATATTTATCTTAATAATTTCATTAAGATAAATAAAATAACAAAAGATATTCTAACCCTTTAAATGACCATCAGATACCCATCTGTCACGTGTGTTTGCTTGTTCACATTTGACTCAATAGTCTGTAATGTCGGAGAGGCCGAATCCACTTGAGATGGACAAGTGGATCTTAAGAGTCATAGTAACTTAAGATCTTACTGATAACTTGGGAGTTCTAACAGTTCTCACTCATTTCTATGTAGTAAGCAACATCTACTTTAAAGCACTGGATTACAACAGCACAAATACACTTATATACCTAATTATTACAATAATCTAATGGAAAGAAAAACTAAATAAATGTATCTGAAGATATCAGGCTGCAGTAAGTCTTTTCTTCTATCTTATCCTCTATTATGGAGCATAAGAAAAAGCTCTATTATGGAGCATATGCTCTATTATGGATATTCAAACTCCATAAACTCTAGAGTTAGGCAGAAGAAGGTGAGTCACAGAGATAATAAAGTAATTTGCCTAGAACAAGTGACATCTTAGTCTGAGTAAATAATTCACTCTTCCAAAACTTATAAAGACCCAGTATAATTTACTACTGCCCTATGAGAATTTATAAAGAACATGTCAAAAACAACAATGAATCTTTAAGAGGAAGAGGCACTTTATCTGCAGATATATACCACTTAATACATTTCTTTAAACCATATTGTTTACTTTAAAATCAATATATAATATATAGTACTAAAAAAGAATCTCCAGATTACATCACTATTTATTCATTCACTTTTTTAAAAATATGACATTAAAAATATTCTACTGAAACAGTGTATACATTTTAATTTTTTTAGATTACTTCTAAGGACTTCTAGGTAGTTTTTAACTATTATGTGAAGAATGAAAAATATATCCTAAAACATTCATACCTGATCGAAAGCACTCAATTATTTGTTGAATACCAGATTTGGATGTCTGCAGTGGTTGCTGTAACAAAGGAGCATCTCCAGGTTCCAGGATATAAACTACATGGAAGACAAACACCCACCCCAATCCCCACAGAAAAAGGGTTATTTAAATCATTTACTACTGAAGAAAAACAATGGTTGCTACAATCATGTAAATGACGATCATACTTATATGTATTTCACCATCATCTTTGCAAGGCAAAATAAAATGAGAAAAAAATAACCAAAGTAATTTTCAATTCAATAAAAAGGAAAAAAATAAAATTAGTCTCAATTCAAGGCTAAAATAATGCTACTTAAAGCTAATTAGTTTAAATGCAAAGATCTTCCTATCCTGGTATTATTTAATATATATTCATCAAGTTTGCCTTTTTATTCCCTCTGAAGAGGGACCACTATATTTAACCAAAATTCTAGGGCAATGATGGCCTAACTGCACCTCATAAGCCATTCCAAAACCTTCCCCCTGGACAATCTAATACAGCTCTCTGGGCAATTATGAAAGCAAAACCTAAAAACCACTGCCTAAGGAAAGAACTTGGTTGAGTGTACAAGGACAAATGTACTAGAATGTTCACTGCAGCATTCTGCAGCACTGTAAATAATTAAGAAAAATGTCCAACAATTTAAGAGTCTCAAAAGGAACCGAAATAAATAAACTATCAAACATTCATACAGTGGAATCTCTGATGACTATTAGAAGGCATGAGCTAGATCTATGTGTACTGACAACAAAGGATGGCAATAATACATTGTTAAGCAACAAAAACAGGTTATAGAATATGATCTCATTTATATTAATATATATTTCAAAAGATACACAAAGAAATAAATTTAATGTATAAGTAAATGTATGTATGAACACACAAAGTCTCCTGGGTTACAAACAAAACTTAACAAAAGTTCTATTAAGGTGGTATTCATAGGGGCAATTTTTACTTTCTGCCTCACATTTCACTAGTACTTCAGAGCCTGGGCTTTTAGAAGTGTGCATTTGAGAAAGTATACATTTTCATTGTAAGCAAAAATATTTCCATTTGCCCTGGTTGGTGTGGCTCAGTGGAATGAGTGGTGGCCTACAAACCAAAAGCTCACCAGTTAATTCCCAGGGCTCATACCTGGGTTGCAGGCCAGGACCCCAGTTGGGGACATGCCAAAGGCAACCAACTGATGTATCTCTGACACACCTGTTTCTCTCCCTTTCTTTCTCCCTCCCTTCCCTTCTGTCAAAACGTAATAAAATTTTTTAAAAATGCATATTTCCATTTTTAAATAAAATTTGTATTTTCCTATACAGAGGTTAGATCATCCCTGCTTTTCAAAATTCTCAGATTAGCTGTGTAAGTATGCAATAAATTAGACTATGGTAATATGAAACAAGGTAACTGAAATGGAAACCTGAACCTTCCATCAGAAATCAAATAAAAAGAGATGGTTATGTTGGAGAAAAACTGCCCACTTTAATTACCTCTTATTTTCAATGTTATGTTTTATTGAACTATTACCATCTTCACCCAATCTGCTCAGTGTGGGGAAATAAGGAGGGTTATTTCAGTAATATGTGCTGCTACTGCTTCAGGACCTGGGCTTGGACAGCATTTAGCCGACAAGGGGGCCAAAGTCTGCTATACTATGTGTAGAGACACAGCCTTAAGTTCTCTTTTAGGTTTGTGGCCGGTACACACAAATAGGAGGAACTGTGTCTCAGGACCAAGTCATTTTATTAAGCAAAATGTTCCTCATCTTCAGAGACACTTTAGGAGCATTTTAAATGAATTCAGAACATATACACAAATACAACTCATTTTAAAAACAGCTGACACTGGCACTAACTGAGGTGATTAGGACTCCAGAACTGGACTGTGCTGAAATTCTCTTTCTGCCATTTACTAGATAAAACGAGGAAAAAAATTAAAGTCTCTGATCCCTCTTTTTTCGTCCCTAAAATGGGGATAATAAAAGTACCTAAATCTTAGGACTGTGTGAGGATTAAATTAGCTAACAGGAAAACTAGTTAAAAACAGAGCTTGGAATATACTAACTGCTCAATAAATGTTCTGTAACCACCATCATCACCACCACCAGCATCATCATGTGTAAACCAACTGCTTGTCTGACACCAAAAACTGAAATCTTTTCCGAAATCTAAGAAGTAGAATTCAACATCTTAGAAAAACAATTACAGAAGCTCATAGATTGGTGATACCATTTATATGGGTTAGATGGATCTCTTTGCAGTATTTGTGCTTTATAACTGATAACCATTTACAATAAATAGTAACAACTACAAAAGAGAAAGTGGAAGTTGTACAATGGTAAAGAACTAAAAGCTTCAAAGTCTGGCTATTTAAGTGGCAAGAATTCTAGCAGGGAAGCATGAACAAACAGTAATGAATAAGGGAGGGATGAAGGAAAAAACAGCAACTTCTTACAGTCCCCTTTCCTCATTTAGGTATATGCTCCAGAAAGCTTTCTATAAACATCAACTTCCACTTCATTGTGACAACATCTGATTTTAAGAATAAAGCTAAATTTTGTTACCCATTATCTTCAAACACTGCTAACACCAAAACATATATACCTCCTGAGATACCAATCCAAATAACCCCAAGATTAGCTTATTTATGCAAGGACACATCCACTTGGTATGTGTCATATCTGTGTAGTTCCCACTTAAGAATCTAGCCTTTCTTTATTTGAAAACATACTTTCAACACTAAAAAGCTTTATGTATTAATACTTCATAAAATCTTTTTGTATATCCTATCATCCCCTCCCCAAGATCAGGTTATATAACCATTTGGGCCGGGGGAGGGGGACGCGGGGGGGCTGCAGGGGGAGGCATCTCCCTCTAACCAAAAACCCAAACCCTAAGAAGTTAACACCTTGCTTTACATATTTTCAAGAACACACTTTAAGAATAAAATACCTGCTTTTGTAAGAGTCTCTCATACCTTAAAAGATCCTTCTACTACGAGGTCTGAAAGTTGCTCTCAAATAAAAGCGTGATGGAGCAGTTGGAGAGTGTAGAAGAAAATCATAGGAAGGGGAGAATAGACATGAAAAGAGACTGTCCATGTATTGATAACTGATGGGAGTTGTGAAATGGTTTTATCAGGTTCCTCATACCATTCTACTTTTGAAAGTCTGAAAATTTCTATAGCAAAAAACATTCTTAAAACATAACTACCACCATGACCAGTGTGGCTCAGTTGGTTGGGTGTTGTCCCAGAAAAGTGAAGGGTCACTGGTTAGATTCCCAGTCAGGGCACATGCCCATATTGCAGGTTCCGAGCCCCAGTTTGGGCATGTGTGAGGCAACCTATCAATGTTTCTCTCCCTCTCTTTCTCCCTCCCTCCCTCCCCCTCTCTCTAAAAATAAATAAATACAATCTTTTAAAAAACATAACTAAGAAAGTATATACATTGACAGGCTTATAACACTACCCTTCACTACAAACTGACCCATCCTATCAAGGCCTACTCAAATATACACTGCTCTCATCTAAGGAACTTACCCACTATTCATAATCCAAACCAGGACAGACCTCTCAGGAGAGCCCATTTAAAGAATTAAAAAAAATTTTTTTTTTCAAACATCATGTCATCTTCTATCATAATATATTCCTCTCAACACTGGGAACATCCTCACACTCAGCACCTACCTTCCTCTGAAATAATGACAATTAACTACCCTATAAGTTAACAAACTTCTGGCTTTCCACTGAACTAAATGCTCAGAAGGTGTTTAATTATAACTAACAAAGCAAAGAAATACCAACTACTTTTGACCTGATAGTTTGCAATATAAACTGCATGAAAAGCTTAAGGTAAAAGAAAGGTGAGATTTTTTAATTAATTCAACTTATCTAATTTCTTGTTAATTGTGGAGAAAAAAGAATTAAAAAAAGTTCCAATACATATTTAAAAGTTCAACTCTGGAAAGCATCTTTAAAAAGACATTAAAGTCTCTAGAAAACTTTAATTACCAGAATACACTAAATAAGATTTGGTCACAAAGTATCTTGTTTTATTTATGTTTATCTCTTCCCACTCAAAAGTTCTACAAGGACATGATTTTATCTGTTTTGTTCCCCACATACATTTCCACTGCCTAGACAGTGCCTAGCACCTAACAGGTACTCAATAATAACCTGTCAAAGAATTGAATCAATAAATCTCTTCCTGAATAAGATGATTTCATTAATTCAACCTGAATTGAAGTATTCTAAGAAAAAAACACACACACACACACACACAAAAACCCTGGAATAAAAAAGTCAGTGAGAAACACAAGTATAAAGGGCATTCACAGCCCTGGTCAGGTAGCTCAGCTGGTTGGAGCCATCATTCCCATATGCCAAGGCTGCAGGTTGGGGCACATGAAAGAGGCAATCAATGAATGCATAAATGAGTGAAACTGTCTCTTTCACTACCCTCCTCTAAAATTAATAAAATTTTTAAAAGCATTCACAACCTTCTACTTCAAAACTGGCAAACTCCACCCAACATTTGCTAAAACATAAGTGGTATATCTTCATTTCAAACACACAAAATACGCACTGTAAGAGGGTGTTGAAAATCAGATAGGTAAGTGGACAGGTGAATAGAAACTGGATCCCATCATGAGATGACCTGTTTTATTAGCAGAGGTGAATTATTACTGATTTTTTGCAAATCAGTGGTGATATGGTCATTGTACAAATTTTATTCTCACATATACCAAAGTTTTCTGAAAATGGAAGTTCTTCCCTTTTACCATTGCAAATTTTTCCCATTAAGCAAAAGAGCACTCTAAACACTACTGTGGTAAAACTGAGTACATTAGAGCAATTAAAACACTCCAACAAAAAGCAAGCAAAAGTATAGAAAGTCCTAACAAGTCTTAGGTCAAAAATAATGATAAACACCTGCCTTTAACTAGAATAGATTAGACTTTATTTGGTTTCGAAATAGTGTGTATCCAATGATTCCCTTCTAAGTTGCACCAGTTTGTGAAAAGCACATCAAGCTTCTAAGTAGAAAAACTATCAATAGTTTATATATCACATTTATCAAATTAAAGTTTTCTAAGTATTCCTCATGAGACTACAAAAAGTAACTTTTTCACTTCATAACTTCAAGTTTTAAAAGTTCCATTGAATAACATATCCCGGAAATACTTACATATCCTATCTAAACAATCAGATTTTTTAAAATTCTGCAATACAGTATTTATGTCCAAGAAATCTTTTAAAAGGTTGCATTTGGCAAATCTTGTTTCTCCCAACAAGTTGAGTTCAACAAACTTTTTTGAGCCCAAACTAAACTCATTTTTAGGATTCAAGTGATATTCTCTGATAAAAAAAGCATAAGAAACTTAATTTTTTCAAGTTTAAATGAAACAAGTTTCATGAAGGTACATGCTAGTATTCTATTATTTTTCCCTTTCTTCAGTTTTAAACATTTACAGAGCATGGGGCATAGTAACTGCAGGCTGCCTTGAAACAGAAGGAAAGGGGACTGGGTAATTGATCCTGCGGAAAAGATTTAAGGTGACACTTGCCGTACTTTTTTAAGAGATCAAGCAGCAGAGACCTCTTGCTTGTACAAGCATTTAGCTTCATAACCAGTTTTATGCAAAGAAAAATCATAGCCTGCTTACTTAAGAACGACTTCTTGGGCAGCAGGAAAAGAAAACTGGAAGGAAACAGAGGGCAGAGTGGCAATGACAGAGGGCAAAGTAACTGGAGAAGAAAGAGGGATACCTGGTTCACAGCATCCGTGATGATGGTGGTCAGTCTGACAGTATTTGTCCCTTAAAGGCATTTTCAGTGGGCGCGACCTACTTTCCTTTCACTGTAAGTAGCTCTTCATTGCGGCTTGGCTGTTGAAAGAAGCACAAACCAGTCACTCACCCTGAACTTCCTGGGGGGACATTTCCCAGATAAGTCCCCTACACCCGCCCTTGGTGTCCCTCCACAACCCGCTCTTTCTGGAACTGGGAAAAGAAAAACGCACGAAGGCTTCTCCAGCCCGAACTCCCGCACAGGTTCACCGTCCTACCCGGAAACGCAGCCTCCGGCGCGCAGCACCGCGCAGCGCAGCACGAAGGCCCGGCCGGCTGCGCGGGCGGCGACGGCCTCGCCGTCCCGGGCTGGCGCGCGCGGAGATGGAGGCGCGGAGCGCGGTGGCACGGTCTGCGCCCCGGCCCGAGGGGCGGCGGGGCGAGGGGTGCGGTGACAAGGACGGCTCAGGAGCGGCTTCCTCACGACCGGCCCACGGCCTCCCACTTCGCACGTGCGTCGGGGTCTCCCCGGCGCAACCCCGGTCCCCACAACCAAGTGCGCCCAACTTACTTAACTCCGAGGGCGGGCCGGCGGGCAGGCGGAAGGAAGGCCGGGCGGCCTCGGGGACAGCCTGGCGTGGGAGGCGGCTTCGGCCCCACCTGAAGCGGCCTCCTCGGATCACGCGAAAGGAACTGGGGTTCGGGCCCGGCGCTCCCAAAGAGTCCCCGCCGGCGCCGACGCGGAAGCGCCACAGCTCACCACGTCCCTCCGCGGCCCGAGGCGACGGCGGAGCCGGCGGCTCACGGCGTCCCTCCGCGCTGTGGAGCTGGAGGGCGGGTGGCGCTCGGGCGCAGACAGTTGACAGGAGGAACCGCCCCGCAGCAGCCGCCACCACCACCTGGAACCCGAGCGGGCAGGACCTCAGTAGCTCCTCACCGGGGCAACGGCTGCCGCCGAAGCCCGGCTCCCCCGGCACCTCTCCACCTGCAACGGTCCCTAAGGCTTTTGGAGAGGGGCGGGGAAGAATGGGAGTCTCCCCCCACCTTGGGCCTTTTTTGGTAGTAGTTGCTGTTTCAGGAAACTTTATTAAGTCAGTCTCTCTCTTTCTCCGTCTCCCCCTCCCCGAAGAGCCTGAGCTACCGCCACGGAGCGGGTAAGAAGGGGGAAGCAGAGACTCTCCGGCTGCGACAGGGAGCGACTGACTGACCCCGGACGGAGATGGGGCGAGGGCAGGAAGTGACAAGCTCTCCGAGTGGGTGGGGGGTAGTGTGGCCGGCACGCCCGGGAGCGCCTCGCGCATGCGCCCGGCCCGGCGCCCCCGCCTGTGGGGAGGCGAAGTGCGGTGACCGGGCGGGGGAGGGACCCATAAGGGGTGTTGCTGGGGCAGCACCGCGGCCCGGGACGCTGACCAGCGCTTCGCTTGCGCGTACTCCCGCGGGTCGTTGGAGAGCCGAAGCCCTGCGTTGCGCGCACGGAGAGGAGTGAGACCCTGGCGCGGCTTTCGCGCCCCTGAGACGGGCTGCTCGGCAACCAAACTGTTGCTATGGCTTTTCTCCTTAGAGTGGAACTGAAACTGAGGGAGGGTTGGGAAAGCTCGGGAAAGAACTGTTGGGAGAGGCTTAACAAACGTGGGAGCCCTGAAGAGGTGCTGATTCCGAAAAGGTGGCTGGCGCATTTACGAATGGGAAACGTCGATCTTTTTCCCCCAGTAATTTTCATAGTGTGCCTCTCCGGGGTTTTCATCTGGTCCTTTGGAGGAAAACAATCTAATGGTGGAAGATCGGTATTAATTCCAGCAGCGCTTCGCTTTGGAACCTGAAAGTGAAGTTGGGTCACGTGTGCAGTAAGCTTTCTTCCCACCTCTTCGGCGCCCGCATCCTGCTTGGAAAATCCCCGAAGATCTGAGATCTCTGTGGTCTGTCAAGTTCAGCAAGCCTGTGTGTCGCTTCTTGAGGACAAGAGAACAACTCCTCTGCCTTCTGCCCAACTTGTTGAATAGAAATCTTCAAGAAGCAAATATGTGCGTGAGGAAATTTTGAGAAAGAAAAAGTTCATTCACTTTGTCTATCCCCGGCCGCTAAGATCCACTACAAACTTTTGCAGTTGTCTAAGCAAAGTTGAGTAGATAGGCTCAGTGTATATTTTGAAAGAGTAAACAAGGGACTAAAATCCATTGTCAGAATTCAAAGGAAAGTTTGTAGTAGGCCCAGTAATTGATAAATTTGTTGTAAAAGTATTGAGTGGAGTATTTGCACATGTCTTGGTGATTGTAACAGCTTGATTATGGGGTGACAGGAAAAGTATAGGAAAAATGAACTTTTTAAAAGGAATTCCACGTATTGTACATTCTACCCACACACTAACCAGTCACATAGGTAATGTTTGATTGTTTTTTTCTGTTCCATTGTCAAGAAGCATCACACATCAAACTAAAATGCAATAAAATACTACAGTTTATAAGTCAATGTAAAATAAATTCTGAAATGTCCATATGAAGATGTTTGTTATGCAGCCAATAAAAATCACATTTTCTATAATTAATTGCATGCAATATGCATTAAGCATTATGCAATATGCTTAAGCAAAAGAAAAAAGTTTCATGTAATAATGGAATTATAGGTGGTATTTATTTAACTGGAGATCTGTGATAAAGTTTGAAATGAACTATCTTCTTCATTTAAGGAGTATTTTTCCTACTTTAATAAACATATTTATCACATTAAAAATGTACAGTTTTAACTTTCCATAAACCTGAAGAAGCATTGCTTCAGATATGTGAGTTATCAATGTCTGCTGACCAGATATGAGTAAAAATGTTTAGTTTTCTGAGAAAATGCAGTACTGTTTTTACTTTCAAAGTGGTCCTGACGAGGGGGTCCTCAAAATTGCTTGCTAATAGAATGTGTTTTCAATAATCTGAAAATTTAATTTGGACAAGATTGCAGTGTGCATGTGGTAAAACAAATATTAAATGTGGGGTCATAGAATTTTAAAGATGAAAAGAAACCATGGAAATTATCTAGCAAATCTTACTTTATAGATGAGAGAACAAACCCAGAGAGATTAAATGATTTGCCAAAGGTCACACGGTAACAAGATCCAGGTCTAGGATCTAGATTATTCTCCTATAACATACTACTATTTGACATGTATTGAGTAATACATTTTAAGCTTAAATATTAACTCAATCCTTACATTCTACAGGTGGGGAAACAACAAAGGTAACTCATCAAGGTTACATCTGATATGCAGCTGAACACACACTTGAACCCCAGTAGTATGGCTCTGGAACTCATGACCTTAGCCATTGTGCATGTACTGTGTTGCCTACACTGTGCTATAGCTGTTTTTAATTACATTGTATAAAAGATGAGCCAGTAGATCGTGTAGGTTGTGAAAGATAATAAAATGTCATGTACAAGTTCATGAAGTAAAAATGGAGTTGCTAAAATTGCAAGGATGTCATAGGAATTTCACAGGGCCCTAGAGTTGAAAGAGACTTTGGGCATTGTCTAGAATATTGCCCTACTTCTGAAAACACTAGGCACAAATCATCCCAGAAAAAATCATCTGTCTTCCCTTTTCATTGTTCACTGCAGCAACCTAGGTGACACATCATTTCAGCTTTGAAGAAGATTTTGATCCTTTAGTCCGGCAGTACATCCTGATGATTAACCTAAGACCTTTTTACAGTTTAAAATTATTTTATCATCTTCAAGGCAAGAGAATTCTAACATACACACACATTATTGCTGCATAATAAACCACCCTAGAATTTGTGCCTTTAAAGTCATTTTATGAGCTCTCAATTCTACAGATCAGTAATTTGGACTGACAGAGTTACATGAACAATATCACTTCCACCACATTTTTTTAGTCAAAGTAAGTCAAAAGGCCAGCACAGATTCAAGAACTGGGGAGACAGATTCCCTTTCTTCATAGGAAGAGCAATATAGTCATACTTCAAAGGGATATAGGCATATAAGAATGAGAAGAGTTGCTGCAGTGATGTATAGAATTTCTTACAATATATAATCATTTCAAGAATGATACTAATAAAAGCTGATTTTTTTAAGTTTTTGATGATGCCTTTAGGAATACCAATACAAGGAAACACTAGTCAAGCATTCTTTAAATGGACCAAGCTCAATTTGGTGGCTTTGTGTAGATAAACTTTTGTGATTCCTTAATTTTTAATACTGGACTTCTTTATCTGGTTATTTTGTTGCTTTCTTTAAGCCGTTCCCATCTGTTCTAAACAGATCCCACTAAAACAGCATAAAAACCTAACATTAAGTAGGAGCAATTATCCTTCCTATAGGATCTATATACTCTGGTCCAGGTTTTGGTTATATTGTGGCATTTTATAAAACATAATTAAATTCATAACAATGTACAAATTAAATAATGGACCAAACTAGAGGCTGGCAGTTTAGAAAGGATCATAGAAAATTGATTTAAAAGAACAAATATTAAACTTGATCTGTAATCGACTATAAAAATCCTAATATTGTTTAAGAAACATAACATGAAAAAAGAAGATAATGTTTTCCCTAAAATGCCTATTTTTAGAAGGGTAGGGAATAGTTGCATGTGGGTTGCTACCTGATGATAATTTGTCTACAAGTCAATCCCTGACATGGGCTTATACCTTCCATTCCTACTGCACACTTAGGCCTTGCTAGCCAGGTGATATAATGCATGCACCATGCTGCCATATGGGCAACAAATTACACCTTACAGATCTTCCATTCCGATGCATTTCAGTTATCAGTTAAGTGAATTACACTAAAGATGTTTTTTATTATACTGAAATTTGGAAGTAAATATTTATTGTAATCTGATAATAACAGCTAATGATAATTTTGTTGTCACTTGATGAACTCAGACCATGCACTAAGTGCTTTCTAGTTTCTCACCGAATCCTTACAAAAATTCTGGGTCAGGTATCATCCCATTTTACAAATAGGAAAACAGATAAATAGTGTCTGAACTAAGATTTAAATGCAGGTCTATCTGAGTGCAGGTCCTATGCCCTAAGTTACGTATATTGATTATTCCTAAAATGTTATCTCTAGCTCAGACCTGAGCCTCTAAGCTCTATTTCTAACTACCCATGAGACAGACTATCTGATTTCCTCAGGCATCTCATAATTAGCTAGACCAAAACTGAACTTATCTTCTCACCAAACCTGTTCTTCCCCTTCCAAAATTTAATCAACAATGTTGCTAACCATTCATGCTATTCAGGCAGAAGTCTGAGTCAGAGAGAAAGAAGCATATGCAAAGATGCAAAATAATGCAAATTACTTATGTACAAGGTTTTTCATCTCACTTATCCCAGCCCAACCTATCACCATAAACAATTGGTTATACCTCAGAAAGGTATGCAGGTATCTAGAAAATACAATTTCCCCTCTTCACATGCACAAACAATCTTCTGGTCCAAAACCTTATCTCTGGACCATTACAATAACTACTTTTATGGTCTCCCTACCACTAGTCTTTCCCTCACTCCATTATTCTACACTATCAACAGAATTATAATCCAAAC